GACATAATTTTTCTTATTATTGATTATAGAAATTATAATATCTTTCAAAATAAAAATTTGTATGTATTTATTTATCATTATTACTTTATTTTATATAAAATATTTTAAAAATACAATACCATACAATTCAATTTAGAAAAAACTGATTGAAAATTGATTAAAATAAAAATAATTATACATTTTTGTTCAATTTTGGAAATTTTTATTACATTATTATGCAAATGAATTGAATACTTGAATATTTCAAGCATCAAAAATAAGTAAAAAGTTGTGCATTATTATATATATAATATCTAGGAATACCTAATTCCAAGAATACGTAAATTCAAGTATGACTTAATTAAAAATTATAACATATGACAATAATATATTAAATTTTTGTCCTAGATTTTTTATAAGATAATAAAAAGCTTCGGTAATTAACGAACTTTGATTATATAATCAGTGAAATGGTTTCAAGGGTTTCATACTAAAGTTCCGTTTAATTCCGTTTAATTCTTCACGAGAATTGGCCTTAAGTGTTCTTTGTGGAGTCTGGTGATCGATAAATCATTTTGTAATTTAAATGGTGATAGAGTAAAACGACTTTTAATTACGACAATTCATTAAGATATAGAAAAATAATTCGTGAATTTTACATTCATTTCGTGAATTTTACATTCATTTACTAAAAGAAAAACTTGTGAGAGAGGAGTAAAATTTGCATATATTTTTTATGTAACAAAAACAGATGAATATTTGAAATTATTTTAAACATATTGTTTTAAACATATTATTTTAAAAATATTGTTTCAGATTGTTTGAAATAACATAGACTACTAAATAAACTAGTAAGAAGTCTGTGCATTTTTATGTTAAAACTATATTTAAAAGAAGATTGGTTTTGAATTAGAAGAACAATGTCAATTTTAACTAAACTATTTTCGTAAAATTATATTAGACTGCGCAAAAAAATTAATGAATAATCAATGCGAACTGTGAACTACAAATCCGCAAATATCATGCTAACTTTATAATAAAAAAAGAATAATTAGAGCAGATTTATTATTCTCCATGACAAAAGGTATAACAAAATAATTAGCATATTTCGCTCGTAGTAATATGATTCTATGTTTAATCGATTAGTATAAACTTTTTTTTTTAATTGGTTATTTAGTTGTCACAAAAAATTACAACTTACAATTAATAATTATATATGTTCATGCATAACCACATTGTTTTTATAAAAATATAAGCTTATATTTAAATCAAATTTAAAGTTAAATTTAATGAGTGTAACTTCATTTAGCAAACGTTGACTAACATTTTTTTCTTTTAAAAGCTTAGGCAACAAGCACACATCATTTCGACATCAAATATTAGATATGTTTGTACTAATAACGACAAATAACAAAAAAAAAGTTATTTCATTATTATTCGATTATCTTATCATCATATTTTGTCATAATTATGACGTAACATATATTTCGGATTTTGAACTGTAATACTTCATTTTACATTGATATTAAAACTTAAAAGTATAAGTTTTTCTTTTAATTATCGTTTCCTGTTTATTCATATATATTTATTTAATATATTTTAAAATCCGTCTTAAATGTAATAATTTGCAAAGTTCGTTCCAACGGAATTTTGTGTGCAATCGTGATTAATACTGCTGCGTAGTAAGCATCATTGTAATAATATCAATCTAAGATTATTTATTCAATATTCAACTAAATAATAACATAAAACAAATATGATATTCCTGATGATATAATTCCTGATGAAAAATCATTTTGTCATATTTAATGATTATTAATTATTGTTCTTAATTAAATAATAATAATTATAAAAAATAATAATTATAATTAAATAAGTAATCCTACTATGTTCAAAATCGAGACATAAGACGTCATAAAAACATAATTAAATAATTTAACATTTTTTAAACATCATTTAAGACATCTTCACACGTCTTATGTTCTAATTGTGAATGCATGCTGTCTAAATATTAATCGAATATTAATATCTTAGTTCTTTTTAAACATGCTCTCTTTACAAGTGTCTAAACAAGTATCGAAAAAATATAGATGCTATTTTGCACATGTAAAAATCGATGAAAATATGAAAACTATATTTTATTTATTTATTATATTTATTGTATTTATTGTATTTATTTATGAAAAAAAATTTTAACTATATGTTTCATTTTTTTGACAATAATTATTAAATTGTTCTGTCATAAGTATATTTCTATTAACTTTTAAATAATTAAGCGATTACAGCATTCCACGCATAATTATCTTGTTTTGAGAAAGGAAAATAAAAAGTATATTTTTCAGAAGTCTAAAAAGTATAAAGTTCATTATTTTTACATCCTTCTATCTTCTAATCTATTTCATAAGAGTGTAATTATTATAAATTCAGCTTTATACATATATTAAAAATATGACTGTAAAAATAAAATTCTTTTAGGGTGTCCTGAGTACTTTGTCTACTTAAAAATTAAATATTTATAGATAATCACAAAAATTTCTCGTACAATCACAAAAGTAAACACTGCTAAATGAGTGACTGCAGTAAATTTTTCTCAAGTACCTTTTCGATCATATATATATCATCATTTTATCATATAATATCTTATTTATGACATATCTTATTAGGTCATTTTCATATTTTGAAAACGTCAATTAATGACTTTAATAATAATCAATGAATAACTAAAATCTATTGTCCAATTACGTGTCTGTTATTTAGAGTAATTTCCTCAATAATACCGATTTATTTAAGCATGAAAGCAGGCTTTGAAATATTTATATATTGCAAACATATTTTAATAAAAATATTATAAAATACACATATTTACCTGATAAAAGCATAACCTTTGTCCTTAAATACTCGAATTTCTTGGATGGATCCGAAGGGTGAGAAAGTTTTCTGCATGAGTTCTTCTGTTAAACCATTGGTCAAACCGCCGCAGTATACCGTGCAGTTGGTCGGACTACTTTGATTGTAAACTTCATCGAACGTCAACGGCTTTGCATTCGCTGTGAGACAAAAAAAATGACAAACTTTAAACTTTATTTAATTATATAATCCGTTGCGAAGTCTAAGAAAACTGGTTTAAGTGTTAATAATCGCAGCTATGGCGATAATTCCTGAATATTAATTGTTACGTGTCTTTCTTAATGCAGAATATAAATTTATAATGACAGAGAATATTAAATATATGAAATTCTTATATATTGCTATGTAATATAAAAAAATATGTAATGTAAAATATGTAATGTAAAAAAATAGTTTAAAAACAGTTTATTACGAAAGCTCAATTATGGCTTAAGCTAACGAGTTTTATACTGTGAATTTTTAGATTACGTTTGCTACAAGTTGTTGATGTTGATTCTGTTTACACCAGGAGATTAATTACTCTTAGCAAATATAAAATTCAAAATTGTGTAGAGAAGTTTAATAAGTATAATTTAGATATACAACGTCCACTATATTACAAGCTGTTTTAATCGACGTGAATGTAACAATTTTTCTCAATTGCGCTTAATTCAAAACTCTATCAATTACATATTAAATCAAAATTCTGAAAATGGGATGCTATATTCAGATATTACTATGCATCAAATATTAGTTACAATTTTGTAAAATTACAATAAAATATTCCGTGATCAGGGAAATGTTTCGAGAAATATTAGCTGCTGTATCTTATTGAGGCATTTATTTTGTTATCAATCAGTGACACACAATCACGCATAATTCTTGCTCGTTTGCAGTCATGATTGGCATATAAAGAATGAGCAATGTTGAAGAGTTACGCAGGTATTCATCAAAAAACGATCAGCGCACGATGTAATGATTATTCCGTTTGCGGCATCAAACAACAATCGGATACAATCCCGACAGCGATATAAGAAACAACACGCACGTGGGACCTTAGGAAAGTCATTATTGAAAGTCTACTTCCCCCAACGCGATAGATCTCTCATATATCCTTTACCTCTTCTCTTACCTCCTCTCCCCTTCTTTCCCGCGGTATTACTTTTACTGATACTACGAAAGAGGTCAACCGGGTTTCACGGTATAGTTGGGACGCGAGAGCAGCTCGAGATATCGAACGCCAATGCCAAAGAGGTTGAATCCCGTCAGCTAAGTTTACGATCGTATGGGGGCTTAACCTATACGGCAGAAGCAGGCTACGGGTGTAAACGCGACCGGTAAACCACGGCCTGTAATTGCCTCGTTCAGGGATGGAAGGTTCTCAGAACGGCAGAACGTCCCGTTAAGAACTTACCGAGGGACGTTCTCTTCTTTTCTCAAAGCTCGGCATTATCTCTTTATTGTCTGGTGAACGTTATTCTCAGTATTCCCGGAATGTCGGCGCAGCTTGCTCGCCTCCGTCGCCGCTACCGCCTATGGTCGGCTTTAAAAAATTTTGTTTGTTCTAGAATGCTTATTTCGCAAAAAGAGAGATTGAAATATCTGCACTTCTGGTACTTGCGAAGTTTTGGTACTGTGAACTTTTTACGGTTCTATCTTTTTTGATCGCCGATCGTTTCGCAAGTTAATAACTGATAATTATTATACGACAAAATGTAACGAATTAATGCGTTATCGCGACACGGTAGTTAATTAGTGCGATATCATTTTTTACGAATCATATGATTGCTAAATCTGTTCATTACGAAGAAAATATTTTCAGAGTAAATCAAAAATTTCTCCAAGCATTTCTAATGTATAATTATCAAATATAATAAATACTCTTTATTTTCTTTTATCAAAAGAAATTAAATTACTAAATATAAGAATCTTGTAATTTATGTTGTTTTATTTGATTATAAAACAATACAATAAAAATACAATAAATGGACATTCATATCATTGGGCTTAAACATTTATTACAGACATAGATTGTATACTATTTTTGCTATTACTATTATATATTATAGCTTCATTATTAATATTCATAATAGTTGAATTAAGAATTATACACATTATATACATCATATTGTGAATGTGTAGGTATATATATATAATTTTATAATTAGCAAGCAATTTTATATCAAGATGCAGATAAATCATATCATCATACAAAAAAGATATGTGTACGATCTATCTGTACGTCTAACTGCTGTTTATAATCCTACTCAGAACATGCAAAATTTTTCGTAATATTACGATCGAATAAATTTTTCAATTACAAAAAATTCAATCCCTTAAAAAATATTAATTATCATGTTTATTGCCAGATATCTGAAAATATAATTTTGATTCTGATAAGATAAGTAAATTGAAGTTCGTGAATAAATAATTTCGACAAAAAGCTCAGAAAAGCTATTTTTGAACATATAAATATATAATAATTGTTTTATAAATAATTTATTCTAGCACAGAATGATTATAATGTGTATACACGACACGATATTTTAAAATGATGCTAGATCTATCTACTTCATATCCTCTTTTTAGAACTATAATAAATTGCCTTTAGCAGAATATTAATTTTATATTGGATTTTAAGCGACACGAGAAGCTGTCACTGCTTTTCTGTCAATACTTGTCCGCTATGAACGTAGTTTTCAAGATTTAAGAGAGAGCGAGAGGAGGAATCGAGATTCAAGATATCGGGGATCGATTGGAAGAATTGCTCCCAACGTTTTGAAACGGTTATATCAAGAATATCTGGTTGAAAAATTGAAGAGCTATTGTAAATCTATGGCGATGGTTTTCGTACGGAGCGGATTCCATGAAAGAGAAAAAAAAGATTTCAAAGAAAGCTTGCGGAGATGAAGTTGATTCAGACATGGAATGATACTGGATGAAAGAACAACTATACAATCGTATTTTTATTGAAATTTATCACGTTGAGTTTTTGATTGATTCTGATGTGATACATAATGTACAGTAATATATTCAAATGAAAATCAGGATAAACAGTATCATCTATAATGTATAAAATCGTTATCTGTCGATTTATATTTACATCATTAGGTACACATAAGTAGCGGTATCAGTTCGATGTAAGCTCCAATCAAAATCAGTTAGTCACAAATGTATTATGGGAAATGTAATGTAATTTTTCAAAAAATAAATTTCTCATATATTCGTATACATATTAATGACAACTTTTATTGTTATTTAAAATATGTAAAATAAAATTAAAAAGAATACAATAATAAAAACAAGAGATACTTCTATTTAACTCAAAATTTTTTGACAAAAAAGTAATTGATGAAATTTGATATTTTATTCTATTTTTTTAAGTAATAAAATTGATAAATTTTAAAATTCTGATGTAGAAATGCCACAGAATTAAAAAAAAATGATTCTCAGATATAATTGGACTTGCTCTTTCGAACGCTGGCTTTATTTCCCCTCTGCGAATTCTTAGTACTTTAATCGAAATATTCCTCTCTCTCTCTCTCTCTCTCTCTCTCTCTCTCTCTCTTTCTCTTCGAGATTGGGCTACTATACCGATTCAAACTGATTTGATTCCATTGAGTGTGCGATATTCCAATTTAACCCCTCAGGCATGATTTTCTCGACGTTTCCATTTTAAGTGGTCGACTCATGCGTCGTATGCGCTAAGGTCTTAATACGTACCCTAACGTGATTGCACGATCCTGAAAATGTTATTTATCGACGTATTATAGTCACAGTCGATAGAGTCACACGTCGTCGATATGTTTAAAGTTCGACGTTTTCGAGAGCTGCGTTTGCAGAAATTACGTGTCAGTTTACGCGGCAATAAAAGTAAGTAACTACTTTCGAGTATTGAGCGTAGCAATATTACAGGGACTAAAAATTTTCTCTGCAGAAATATCTTATAAATTTTCATCGACTAATAATCCATATTAAAATATTGCGGATCAAACAAGAATTTGGTACCGACAAGAAAATATCCAAATTCGCTGGTTTTGTCAAGTCACTTTCGCTCTTTGCAAATGATCCGTGATTTATGATCCCTCGGACGTACCCCTGATCAAAGATCCGCCATTACGGAAACAGCCTGTAGTTCTAGATTCGGCTCATTAGGCAGCTGATTACGTGGACGTGCCTAAATCGAAGTTCTATACGTCAGATCAATGGCGGCTCCGGCGTATTCCCGTGAAACTTTATTCTTATCTAGCGGGAACCACTTGGCGATCGAATAACTAGATTTATCGCGCGAATCTAGTAACTTTTTACTTCACTGAATTTCCGATAACTTGCCGCTCCCGAGAACCGGGAGATGAAAGATCAACAAGAAATTCGGGGGTAAACTCGAAATTTTCTACCGACCGCGTCGAAGTCTGGACGCGCTAGTTCTGACCTTAGATAAAAAAAAGGTACAGAACACTGAAGAGAGAAGAGAAAAAAGGAAGGACGGCTTTAGACCTCCGCAATATCTCCTTGCTCTTTCTTTCTCCCGAAAGGGAAGTTTCCACTTTTCTCCGTTTTATGGCGGATGGAATCTCCAGTGGTCGACGATAGAATCCGAATGTACGTATCTCGTGCCCTCTTAAATAACGCGGGTACTTGAAGTTTCGTTGGCACTGGTCACCCTAGCAGCGCGCCAATATTCGTCCCGACTAAATTCATGGTAGCGGGTACTAAGTGGACACTGGCTGTCCCCGTGGCTATTCTCCTTTTTCTTATTCTCGGACATCCGTGGACATCTGAATAATCAATGCTCGAACTGACGCTGCATTTGTAACTTTCTAGTGGTTTATGTAAATCAGGACGAACTGAGCGGAATGGGTAGTTCCTTAGTTGCCGTCGCACGAATACTTTGTCCATTTCCTATTTGGATTATTGTTGCATTATCCATAACAAAAGTGTATTTAAGTCATTGTATTATGTTAAATTCGTGCCCGGATATACGTGATAGATTAGAGTCTAGTGATATTAGATTCTTAAAAAAAAAGATGCAGGCAAAAATTGTAATATGTATGTAAAAATTTCAGAATTAATTTCTTATGTATTTATTGCAATTATTTGCCTTGTATTATCTTATTAAATTATATTTTCATGTTTACTTGTTAGAACCTTCTCCCAACAA